CGCTGTGATGACGTCAAATGCACGCTTTTGTCGACCGCGATTTTGTCGTCCGCGGTTTTGTGGTGGAACCAAGATTTTAGTTGTCACAGGAAAATAAAGTTTTATAATCCTTCTTACCTGATTCAAGTTGATTTGAGCTGAAAACTGAAATTCAGATAAAAATGTTTATATTTTTAAAAGACCAGAGGAGGAAGAGGATTGTGTAGATTGATTAGATACAGCAGTAAATTGTACTTGCCTCATGCGAAGCTGCAGAAAAGAAATGTTCCAGGTCGCTTGTAAGTTTATAGGCATTTTCTGTCACAATTTGGTCACTACCAATTGTGACAGTGTCTTTTTTTTTGATGTCCCATGAAGAGATGTGACAGACATTGACACTATATTGTGACTGGTGGTAGGAGAAGATGTAGAGGACGTATCCTTGATGGAGTTCTCATCCCGAGGGAGAACTGTACTCAACATGTAACAACACAAATTGTTAAGGCGTCCTTTAACTGAAGATGAATTTAAGAGGCATTGATTTAATAGGAGAAGTGATTTATTTTCATTTTTTGGAAGGTTGCACCAAAATGCAAAATTGGCATAAATAAGTCATTCTCCATATTGTAATCTTCTGCCTTCAATTCTTAGTTATGCAATGGCACATGAAAGAAACTTTCTAAATATTCAAAGACTCTTCATTTTTACTTTTAACTTCTTAAGATTCTAAAGTTGAATTGTGGGGCGGTCTAAGACTTTAAATAATTCCTTAGACTTCAAATAAGCATAAGTGGACACAGGGTTGATCAGCTACCAATTTTTTATTTGACAACTGATACAGGTTCGAATTAAACCCGGAGAGGCTAATTTGAAAAGGGCATTGCAATTCATTGACACAACTTTTAATTGCTGAGTTACGATAGGCCGGTTGGAAGATTGGCCTCAATAAGGATTAGTTAGAATACTTTGTGCAATGTTGATCTATTCTACCACTTTATTATAGCAAGACCCAGTCTGTTTGAATTGTGAACTATGGCATTAATTGTGGATGAATATAATATATTCTCTACCATTAAGCGCCTCTCTAATCAAAGAGAGTTCATTTTCAAGAGAAATGTCATGATGTCACATGATTTTATTTGGTTATACAGTAATTCCTCATTTTAATGGACCTTGCTGATGGAAGAGAAAATTTGTAGATCAGGGCTGAGTTGCGGGGCACTTGGTGCTCTGTGGACTATGGCTTAAAGGACTTCAGATATAATGGACTCATGTGTTAAATCAGGTTTTGTCCATTAAATCAAGCAGTTTGATTATGAAAAAAGTGGTTCTGCCACTTGTTGAGATTTTAGTGCAAATAATGCTATTTATATCCATTAATATACAAATGATGTAAACTTGTATACAGGACCTAAATTAACAAACTTTCCTGCCTAAGCAATAGCCCATTAAATAGAGGTTTTACTATAATATAGATGTGATAGCCAATCTAATACAGGTAATCCTTGACTTACGACCACAATTGAGCCCAGAATTTCTGTTGCTAGGTGAAACATGTGTTAAGTCAGTTTCGCCGCGTTTTACGATTTTTCTTGCCACAGTTGTTAAATCACTGCAGTTGTTCAATTAGTAACACGGCTGTTACAATAAGTGAATCTGGCTTCCATTGACTGCTTGTCAGGAGGTTGCAAAAGGGAATCACAGGAACACGGGACATTGTAACTGTCATAAATACAAGCCATCTACCAAGCATCTGATTTTTGATCACATGATCTGTGCTGTAAGGGTTATAAGTGTGAAAAATGGACTTAAGTTCCTTTTTCAGTGA